CTTTCCCTCCACCTCTATTGGTTTTTACCTACCTGTTGCATCTTGATTTTACCTAAGACTTAGCTTTGAGGGTAGGGACTGTCTTTTATTGTATGTCTGGAGAGAGCTTCTAGATGCTAGCATAATACAAACACAAGTAAATAATAATCTACAGCAAATTTTAACATGCATTATGTGGAAGCCTAATTTATATGTAATAAATGCAATAGAAACTAAAACTCACAGGTACAGCATTAAATTCCACTTCCATTATCTACATTATTCATTAATGTACCTCTGAAATACACATTTATCAATATCTCAACCTTCACGTAGTTTTGACGGAGTCTTAGATAATGAAGAATTTTCACTTGGCTATAGGAAAATATCAGCTGATTGAGAGCATAAAATAAGCATATTTTGCTTTCAATTTTATAGAGTACTGACAAGGCTGTAATAACTTAAATTTATATTTTCTTAATATTGTATTGAGAAGAGAGTGTTTTCCTTGAAGTTCTGTAAGGTGAGTGACATCTGGGAATGCTGACATCCTGAAGCCATAAAATAAAGCATCATGTCTTTGTCTGGCAAGTTTGAGAATCCATTTCTGCTGCTCTTAGCAAGGATAGTAATTGTTTTGAAAACCTTTGGACCCACACAGCCGGTTTAGAGAAAATTGTTCATACACTGACAATAAACACATTTTCCAAAAACACATAGTTTTGGGTATCAAAATTTTATGAAATGCTGCTACTGACAGCTTCCACAAAGAAAAAATAAAAACAGAGCAGTTTTTGCCTTTCTTTGGATTAATCTTGTAGCAGCTGGCTTATATTATCACATAAGTACATTAAGGATTTGGGCTATCCTGCTCTTGCTTACGTCAGTACAGTTCACATATACAATTAATGGAAAAGTCAGGTGCAAGAGCAGAATTTAGAAAAGCTTTTTCCCCTATCAAATAATGGGCTAAGTAACAGTATATTGGTGTTGCTTAGCTATCTGCTCACATTTGATAAAACTTACTCCTGTTCAAAAAACTTAGCTCTATGCACAATTTACAGGGGTTATGACAGGCTTTATGCTAACAATTTAAATGAAGGATAATAGGGGTTTAAGAGAAATGGCATCCCACTGCTTTAGGTTCGGCCTACTTCCGTCTGACTTGTTTGTTTGGTCAGTTTTGAATGTGGAAAATCAAAATGTGCCCCCTTGATTATCCCATTGTTAGAGCTGAAAGGTTGCTAACTAAGCTTATCTCTTCAAGCAAAATCACATTAGAGAAATGCTTGCCCATACTGTGAGAGTAAAGAGAACATAGTTCTACTCGGTGATCAAATTGCAGTGGGGAAAGAGGAAAGGTATTTGTGTCAAAGCCATTGTTTTTGCTTCAGTTCCTATGTTGAAATCCATATAATAGCCTTTATTTTTTCATATCTGCTTAGGAGACAATTTTGTCTGGCAGCAGGCAGATATTGGGAATATACCAAAGTGCTTAATGCCTTCAAGCATAATACTCACTGGGTGCATCTACATGTTCATTAATGTGCTTTAGGTAACTGTAACAGGGAACCCTAGCCCTGTTACCAGAAGGCAGGTCGGCCCCTTTAAAACCAGAACTTTCTGGGCACAGCATACTGATAAGGGGGGGTTAAAAGCTGAGCCTGGCCAGCTAGTCAGGTAACCGGAAGGGGGCAGGCCAGAACTATAAAAACCCTGGACTGGGCAGCAGTAGAGACTGACAGTCAAAGGGGAAGGAGTGCATCCCAGAGCTCCCCAGAGAGGCTTGGCGAGCAGTCCAGTGGCTGCAAGAGGGGAACTACCGAGGACTCCCGGAGAAGCGGCAGCAACCCTAGAAGAAGGACTGTAGCAGACGGTGGGGGAGCAGAAGCACAAACCGCTGAGAAACTGTAAGCTGGCATGCTGCCTTCTTTAATCATATTTTCTTGGTGGCGGTTATATAGCCCATGGACAGGACTGTTCATAGATTCTTTTTTTTGTTATTGAACAACACTGGTGGTTTGGGTGACACTATTGGGGAAGGAGGAGGCCTCATTGGAGCCCCACTATAGCGTGGAAACTCCAGTGCCTGCATAGGCGCAGTGTTTGGGGTGCACAGGCACAGCAACAGAGAAGGCACAGTATACGGGGGCACAAGCCCAGCACCAGAGACTAAAAGGCCAGGGTGGCCTGGTGCACCTGGGGTGCAACTGTGTGTATGTAGGGGTTTTTTTCTTGAACTGGGATTTGGAGGTTCGGGGCCTTTGCCAGGCTTCGAACTTGTGGCCAGCTGGGGGGGGGGGCGGGGGGGGCTGGCAAACGGGCTGCTGGGCCAGGGAAGCTGTGCTCCAGATTGGAGCAAAAAGGAGGGCCCCAAGCCCCAAGACTCAAGAGCTACAGCCTTGCAGTCAAACTCTATCTGGTGGGTTTAGACAGGGAGGCCTAGCTAGAGAAAGACTGGGGTCAAGACCAGTGTTGGCAGAGGACCCTACCATACAAAAACAATAGGCAGTCTTCCACTTATAATATTTCCATCAAAACGTGGCAGGCGAGTAGAGAGCGAGAAACCTTAAGGGGACTCCAAGGGTGACCCCACATAGGGCGCGGATAATGCAAAAGATGGCGCTGGGGAGGGCGACCTGTTAAATCTATCATACATTAAATCTAGTACCTCTGGGCACCTATACATGAGTGTGGAGATTGCTCTGATGTGCTGGAATGCCAGCGCATCAGAGCAGGCTCAACTGAGTCTGCTGGAGCATGACAATTCTGTATTCCAGCAGCCTCCTGCATCTCATGTATCAGCATCCCCATGCTTAAAAATGGTAGCCATTAGTAAGCATGGCACCATTTTCAAGTGAGGAGATGCTGATACACGAGACATAGCGGCATTTTAATTAGAGTGGCTCTCGGAGCTGCTCTAATTAAACTCCGGCCCCACCCCCGCCCCAAGAGCACATGTAAAAGTGTCCACCATTGTAAGGTACTAGAAAAAGGTGCATTCGCCTATTTTAATGTGCATTAGCTAAAGAGCATGGGGTTTTTTGTGATGCTTTAATGCACATTAAAATCAACTAATGCGCGTTAAAGTACAAGTGTAGATGTGCTCAGTGTAAATTATTTAGCTTGTCTCTTGCTTACAAGTCTTTTATAAAGTCATTAGATGTAGGAGTAAAAGGAAAGGATGTTGCACTGTTTTGGTTATATGTTAGAGTTTGCTTGGAATTTAGGGCTTATGCCAATTTCTGTTCTCTGTCAAAGCTGTCTGAGAAAGGTACCCATATATGATGGAATGTTGTGTAAGGTTATGAAGCTGCCAACACTATTTTGACTTAGCTTTTTTCAGTATCTTATCTAGGACCAGTGAGGGTTTGGTTGATGTACTAGAGTCCTAAATTTTTCCTTATTGTTGATGCTAATTTTTTGGATGTTTAAAACACAAATGATTCCTTGAAATAATTATTTCATTCTATTGTGTAAGAGATATTGGGAATATTGTTCCAGAGAGTTTGGTAAGTATCTAAAAATATATATCAATATGCTCACGCCCAATGGCTAGGGACAGACATTCAAAAAGCCTAAGCATGAATTGATTCAATCTTTGCAGGTTAGTCTAACCTGACTAGGCTTTACCAGTTTGAAACTGGACAGACATTCTCTCTGGACTGAGGAAATTCAGGCACATGCCTGCAGTGGCTCAGGCTAGAGGCTGGTAGGGGGTGGAGCAGGCCTCCCTTCTCTTCTGCAGGGAGATGAGCTGAGGGGGCATGGCCAGGCCCTGGCAGGACTCTCTCATTAGGGATGTCTGCCTGCACAGTCCCAAGCTTTTCCCTTCTGGCTGCTCAAGGGGAGAGAGTGTTGCCTGCCCCCAGCCCCAGGCTAGCACTCTGAGGCAAGGGAGAGAGGGGCGCAGTGCACGCATCTGTTGATGATACAGAGCTTTTCAATCTTCCTCCCTGTTTCATCATACTGTCTGCAGCAAACTAACAGGCAAGCATGCCAGCTGGGGGCTGATAGTGATAACAGTCTTTATCATCCAATTAACAGAACAGTGGCCTCTCTCCGTTACTTCAAACTTCTTAAGCAGCTTACCAGCTGACCTGTTGATTAGCTCCAAACAGCCTTAAGCAGTCACTGTTCTGTCTCCCTGCCCCAGTGAAATTGGAGAGACACACACAGAGAGACATCTCTCAGCATTAGCTAGCATACCACATGCCTAGGGTCCATGGGGCTGGGGTCCATGCTGTGGGAAATGATGGGAGAGAGGGGGTATTTCCTGCTTGAGCAGCGGAGGTGGGGAAGGGGGAAGGCAGGGGGAAGCTAGGCAGACTCTGCTGACTCTGCTGCATCTGCAGTCTGTGCTGGAGCCTTACACAGCATTAGCTAGCATACCACATACTGACTATGGTCCATGCTCTGGCAGAGAGGAGGATCCCTGCTTAAGCAGTGAGTGGTGAGGGGGTGGGGCAAGGGGAAGCTAGCAGACCCTGTTGTGCCTGCAAGTCTCTGCTGGAGCTCTGGCCAGGGAGCCAAGGGGAGGGGCCAGCTCTGCGGTGGAGCAGAGAGCTCCATCGAGCCCAGAGAGCATGCCAGGATA